GAAATATCTGACAATCATCTTGATTGTGTTTAGAAATGTCAGATAAATTTGAAGATAATATTGCTGGATAATGAAGAAATGGATATTGAGACTCGGTATTATTCATATCAATGATAATAAACTAAAAAAATAAAACGCACTAAGTCACGAGCATTAATGTCATTGCTATTATCAATTTTACATCAAAGAGCAATGAGTGCAATAATAGAACACAATCATATGGAAGAAGAAAGAAAGAAAAAGTGTAGAATCACATGGTAGACGTATAAGTATCTATCGTGGCAACGCAAAGCAAAATATGAAACGAGAGAATATATGAGGAAGACCATCAATCATCACCTTAATACACGAGTGTCAGTATGTAAAACAGTCTATCAACATCAACTACGTAAAGAGAAATACTCCATCGTCAATAAGTACAACTGATGGTTTGACGAGCAAAAAAGAGGCAAATGACGATTGATAGACGTATAGAAAAAAGAGTAGGATGTTTATCTTTGATAGACACCATCGCCATAACCAGAGGTTCTTTTCATTTACTCAAAGCATTCGAAATATCAAACGATGATGAAATGTACATGAAATAGTTTTTTTAATCGTTGCATTGCCGAATATGAAACAAGAAAGAAAAAAGAGAGAAAATAATAACATGTATGTATGCAATCTAGAATATAGACATGACAATTGTCAGGTATCAATAAAAAGAAAAACAAAAGTTATCAATCATTGTTTCTATAAAAAGAAAAATACAAAAAACATAACATTACAATAAGAATTTTTTTAATCAAAATATATTTAAAAAAAAATTTATCATAAATTCACAATTATTTTTTTTTTTACATAAAACTGTTTTTATAAGATAAAAGAAAAACGATAAATTAAAAGAATCTCCAGACAGGAGGATATCGAGCGAAAAGTATTTTATATTCTTACATATAAACGTCTGATTTACTCTCAGACTTATTGTATTTCATGAATGACCACAAAAACCAATATCATTCATTACTGATAATAGATATGTAAAGTACACCTTAAATAGCACGACAATAAAAAACTGAAATATGTCCATATCTATTCAGTCAAATGGTCTAAGTTTTTGATTAGCACTAGAAATTTTTTTTTATACAAATAAGATAAGCAAATACTACTATCAAGTAGTATTGTTGATATCATGAAAGCAATTCTGTCTATTATCAGGTAAGAAAAATACGTATGAAGCGTTTAAGAGATAATTTTCTGTTGTCATGTAACGAGGGCACTACTCACAGTTGTACTTACTGTTTGAGCTCATATTGAATTCATAGGCCAGTCTCAATAAGAACAATAAAAGCCTAAAAGAATTCGTCCTCAATGACCTTTGACACTGAGTTAAGACCGGTCTACCGGATTTTCTATACTCCACAGAAGATCGAATGACTCTTAGACTATTCTGAAAGTTTCAGCCAACAATAATGTTTCTTTGTCAAGATATTGAATTTACAAAAATCGAATTTATTTGAAAACTCAAAAACTCAACGAAGAAACATTTTTTTCGGTTGAAATTTTCAAAATATTCTGAGAGTCACTAAACCTATCTATAGGCAAAATTTTTGGTTGAAATTCCGGTATTCCATCTTCTGAGGCATATCTACTATTTTCACTTAGGCCTGTTCGTAAGTCCAAAGAGCGAATATCACTTGGGTTAGTTTCTTCGTAACAGAATAAAAAGAAAATATAAAAAAATGAATTTTATCAATGATACAATATCGATATATGAAGAGCGAATTTTCAGAAATATTTAGTTTACAAGTTAATGGTTACAATTGTTTTCGAATTTTCAATACATGAAACACTGTTTTTTGCAATGAACTTGATTCTTTATAGGCTGCAGTAATATTTCATTAAAAAATTCACTTACTAATATTGTTGAATGATTTCGAATAAATTTTAAGATGAAAAATGTTGAAATCAATATCATGTAATAAAAGTAAAACTCGCTGTAAATAGAGACGAAATGCAAGGTAAACTTGAATATAATTTATTTTCAACCAACTTATATCAGATGATTGCAGATAAATATGACTAACGTTTGTGTTTTTTTCTAATAAAATATTTACGGAAAGACTAATTTATGCTATTAAAAAATATTATCACAATGAAAATTATCTCTTTTGGATCGACGGAGTCTTTATTCGTGATTTAACTTTCTAAAGATCTTGTTTTGAAAAGTATTCAAATCTATGATCATTAAATGTTATAAAAACAACTTACTGAATCAAGAAAAAGACACTTGACACTTTATACGATGATTATATTAAATTATTGAATCATCATAAATTCAATAAATCTAAATAATAAATGTAATTCTATTTTATACACGCACATAATAACATATTTTGCTAATAATTAAACTTGATGCTAAATGAATAAGATGTGTTATATTGTTAGAATTGTTCTTATATGACATTGTACGAATAAATTTCTATTTTATTAATTATACAATTCCAAGAACATATATGTTCATAAAACCATTAATGAACACTATATTCGGATGTTTCTTCATATTGTTTTCGATTTAAAATAATTCCATTAGTTTGAGGATTTAATATAGGAATAGAACTGTCTGAATAAATAATACTTATCAATATTATATACATTAAGATTAAATTAATACTACAGATAATCCAACAGTAAGAATTGTTACAATTGTTTATACAAGATAATATTGATTTATGATTTATAGATGAAAAACAACATAAAAAATAGGTTATATTGAATCAAACTAAATCAAATAGAATAATAAAAAAAGTTTCAAAAATCATTATATGATTTTCTTGACTTTAATATCATTGTATAAAATTATGTTTCAAAAAAATGGTTAAAGTAAACATTAATTCTTTTTTTTTTTTTCTATTACGCATTCACAATGAAGGAAGAAAATATTCTTCTGTTTTGACTATTAACTAACTATATTTTGTGCTTGTAAGCGCATGCAGCAAAGAACGATTAAAAATAGACAAGGTGTCCTACTTAACAAAATGTACTTTACTTTCGTTTTTTTTTTTTACTTCATTATGGGTTCAACAGAGTACGTTTTATTATTCCTTTCAAGTGTTGTCAGACAAACATATATATAAATCAAATAGATTCAATTGAATATTTTTAATTACTTGACATACATATTTCTACGAGATTTTGAGTATACATAAATAATCCGTAAATCATGTTTTTTTTTTTCTATCGGTTTTTCACACAATCCATTTAAAAAAGGAATTAACTTGATTGTATCATGAATAGCTTGCATATAGAAATAACTGACACTGCTATTTTCATTATTTGAAAGACGACAAATAACTTTATCAAATAATATAAAAACCAAACAACCAGGCTGTTGCCAGTTCTCAGTGATCATCAAAATTTTTTTCATTACATATTGACTTTCAAGATAGTCATTTGATAGAGAAAATCAAGGTCGACTTCTCCAGATGTTTCGATTGAAATGTCATCAATATTTTTTTGAGATCCTGGAAATCGACCAATTGACCACTGGTCAGTCTAAAATGACTTGATAATAGGTGTTCCATAATAACTGATGATAAATTGTTAATAACATTTTTCATGGTTTTTTTTTTGTTGACGCAGAGAGCTGAAATTTTTATCACATATACATCGAATCAAGATCTTTTATTTCTGAAAGTTGCAGCTCTCTAGCTGTAACTACCAGTGAAATACGTATATTGGCAAGACTGAAATCATAAATTTTCGTACTTGATTTTTGCCCCATTTTTCACAGGGAAAATTGATGTATTTCAATTTATCGATGTATTCCACCACTAGTTAAAGCTAGAGATCTGAAATGTTCAGAAATAAAAGATTGTGATTCGATTTATATTTAATAAAACTTTCAGCCCTCTACACCAAGAAAAAGTATTTAAAGTATCATTAACAATTTATCATTAGTTATTCTGGGACACTCTTTATATATACGCGTGTTTGACACAATAGGAAAAAAACAAATTTCAGTGTCAAGAAAAAGATCGCAAAATAATATTTATGCTTTAAAAAACCATGTCGAACTAGCTGACCTATTCCGGATAGAGAGGATGTGAATGTGAGTGTATCTTTCTTTCAAGCACACGCACACTCCAACTGTGAAATAATTTCTTTTGTAGTGTGACACGCTGTGACGTGGTGGGTAATGTCTGAGGAAGTTTGGTGTTCGATTACGACTTCTATGGTCGACACTATTGAAAACATGACGACTCATTATCAGTGAAAAATGATGCTAAATCATTGGAAAATAACATTTTTTTCTCTCTCAAAGACAAGATGATCGGAGATCTGAAGTATATGAAATTGTAGCCTGTGAAAAACTCTACAAAACTGCAAATAAGAAAATGTTTTTACAAATACTTAGGGCATACCAAAAGTCTTTACAGAGCTCTATCAATCTCTTATAGAATGCTTGAAGGACTTTTCTTCTTATATAGACGGATAGTAAAAACAAAGCTCTGCATTTCTACATTATCTGATCATTATTCATCTAATATCATAATAATAAAATTTCCATTAGACTAGTTTAGCTATGATTGGTAACAATAAAATTAGTCAATATTGTCTTCAATGTGGATGTGGGTGGATGCGAGCGTGAGTAGTGGGTGTGGATGCAGGTATGAGTGTGAACTTTTCGTGTGAGCGTAACACATAGTCACACCCACACCCACACTCATCCGCATCTATACCCACACTCACGTTGAAGACAATATTGACTAATTTTATTGTTACCAATCATAGCTAAACTAGTCTAATGGAAATTTTATTATTATGATATTAGATGAATAATGATCAGATAATGTAGACATGCAGAGCTTTGTTTTCACTATCAGTCTATATAAAAAAGAAAATTTCTTCAAGCATTCTACAAGAAATTGATATAGCTCTGTAAAGACTTTTGGTACGCCCTAAATAGCAGCAATGCAGGCAATACCAGTGGATAGAAAGTTGAATAGACTGATGCTGGTATGAAGAATACAACTAATCAAAGTACTAGTGGCCAACAAAGTTCAGCAGGCGAAGGTAGTAGCAGTGGAGGCACTGGTATGTTTGCTTTTTCATTGAGTAGTACAATTTGTTTTTGAAAAACGAAAATAAAATCATTATATAGTTTTATAAAATATTTTATCGTTTTTTTTGAAGGTATTGGAAGTGCTTTTGAGGTTAAATTTACATGTTAATGAACTTTCTTGATAATTATGCTCTAAGAGAACGATGATATATTTTGATAACAGCTACGCTAGTATGAATAAATAAATGAAATTATTTCATATCACAAAAAGAAATAGACAAATTAGTCAGATATTGAAACGAAATAGGAAATAAAAAGACTTTTAATGATTGACACGTTATAAAATTGATGACCTTCGAACAATACTAGTATAAATGATTGATGATGATATGTCATTAGTACCAATGTGTAGGCAATTGCAACATGTCATTAGTAAGAGTATAGTTAATTCGTTGAATAAAATGTATCAAATGAGATTCGATCTCTATTCTAACAGAGTAAGAGACAGAAATTTACTATCCAATTACACATACTTGTTGAATTCTTCCTTCCATTATCATATTAATTCGTATTAAAAAACGTATTTATTTTTATCAGAGTTTGTTCATGAAGTTATTTGAATACAAAAAAAGCAATTCCTTTTTTTCTGATTTGTTAAATACATCCTAAATAAATACATAATATACAATTTTACATTAAAATTTTATCTGTTCAGATAATGATTATGAATTCTTATTTATAGACAATGAAAATAATTAATTTTACTAAATAGTTAATTTTTTAACGACGAATGTTTTAGTCGACATAAGAATGAAATTAATTTTCATTTAGAAAATAATAATAAGAATAAAAACAAGAATTATATAAGTTTAACACTATTAGTAAATAAAATTTGAATAGCAAACGTTTGCAACATACTTTCTTTGGTAAGAAAGAATACATCATCCAAATTTTCCTCTTAGAAGATGCATCATTTGGTTCTCTAGAAACTTCTATATACTTTTTTTTTAAAACAATAGAATATCAATATTTTATAAGCTGTAATTCCCGACTCGGTTAATAGAATTTAGTTTCTGAATATTTTTCATTATTCTTCCAATGTTCTTCTCAAGTTATGAACAACTATGCAAGAAACTTTGATTTTATGATTTGAGTCTGCACAAAATGCTCTTTCAGTAGTGCTTGTACATATTTGGTCATAATCTACATTTGTTTCACAACTACAACTGATCCCAGCGTCTATAATAAAATCGACTGTTTGTCAAGAAGTAAAATTCTTCTTTGAACTTGGTCGTTCTACCAAGTTATATCTGGTCGTCAAGTAAAACAACAAAAGAATTTTTCATAAAACTCTGCAAATACGAACTCGATATAGCTATAAATGACGTCTCTAGGATGTCTATCAAAACACTGAGTCAACTCTAAAGAAAATTTCTCTATTCTCAAAAAATAAAATATTATCGAATGTCAACAATATGCGTTTGAAATACATCATAAATATACACAATCGGCAGACAGTTATCAAACGTTATCTCGTATACAATTGTTTCCTGTTTTTCAAAAAAAATAAATATTCGTTTCTATAAAAAGAATACATCACTAAAAAGTCGTTGGAAAGTAAGTTTCAATTACTGAGTTATAGAATGTATCTTATAAATAATTGATGTACTATTGTTTTAAATAAAGGTTCATAGAAGTTTCTAGTGAATCAAATCCTCCATCTTTTGATAAGAAACTTTGGATGATGTATTATTTCTCAGCTAGACGATATAAACACTCAGGTTCGTAGTAACTAATATTAAAAGTATAATAACGTTTAGGTATGACTTTTAAAAAATCCTGAGAGAGTATTAGTACTTTTTCGTTCGTTTGACTACATTCGTCTTCGCCTCAGTACAATAACTACAAGGACAGCAATCATCTTCATTGGTTCGAAGAAACAAAATAGTACAATGTTTCTAATTTTACTTTGTATACTTGTGTTTATTCTTCTTAGTATACAGGTCACTATCTAAGTTAAGTTAATTCGTCCTAAAAACGTATTTATGATACATTTTGTGAACAAGAAATCAATGGTGAACCATTAATAGCTTTAGTTGGTCAAATTTCTTAGTTCCAACGTTATCGAGAAGCTGATATGACAATGATTTATCACGAAGACCATAGTCCGAAAATATGGTGATATTTACTTATGTAGTTTTGGTCTTGTTGTACGTTTAGTTACCAATGAATCTGATATGCTTGCAGATGTACTTGGTCGAAATAATGTACAAAATTCTACAAAACAATCAATTACCGGTGCTGTCTTTAAACCAGTCATTGTTAATCATAATTTACTAGTTGCTAAAGGTTATGAACATGAACGAGATAGTCGAATACTTAATCCTGCATTCCATCATACTAATTTAAAATCAATGGTTTCAATCATTGTTGATCGAATAACAAAATGTATTAGTTCACTATAGACTAAATCGAAATCTAAGCAAAAACCAAAACAAGTGATAGATTTACAAATTCTATTCAATATATTCACATTGCCAGTTATTGTATCCGGTGCATTTGGATCAGATTTTGAAATAAATGCTAATACAAAAGATGTTATGTGTCGAGTATTTAATAAAGTCCTGGATGCTATTCTTTATCGCTTACTACGCATGATTAATCAAATATCTTTTCTTTCGAAATTACGTTTTTGAAAAAAAAATGTTATTAATAATGAATATCGAATAATATCTGAATTTATTGATCAAATTATTATTGATCGACAACAAGGATGTTCTACTAGCATGTCTAATAGCTCTGACCTTCTCGCTTTTCTTCTATCAGCTGTTGATGATGAAGGACAACCATTCACTAATCAAGAAATCAAAGAATAAGCGCTTTCGTTTATTGGTGGTGGTGATGAAACAATTGGAAGTCTTATAGTATGGTTATTTCATATATGGATAACTCATAAACATGCTTTACAAGCATGTCGTGAAGAAATTAACAGAATTCTTTCCGATTGTTCTGTGCCATATTTTCTACGCCATTGCATACATGAACATACTATTGGTACAGAACATTAATTACGTATACCCGATGGAACAACTATTTTGATTAATGCTTACACGCTTCATCATTGAAATGATCTATGACCTTGATCACTTGAACTTGATTATACTTGTGGGATGCGTGATCCAAAAACGAGTCTCACACCGAAATTACCTTATCCATTTGCTTACCTACGTTTTGCTGCTGGATCACGTAACTGTATTGGATAAAATTTTGCATTATTCGAAGTAAAAACAGTATTAGCTATGTTCATACAACGATGTAATGTTGAATTAGATCCTGGCCAAAAAAAAATAGTTTCAGATGTACAAATTACAATGAGAGTAAAATTTGGTCTATTGACACAAATTAATCAGCGTTAGATATAAATTTATATTCTCTATAAGAAAAAAAAACAAAAGTGGATCAATGGAACTTATTTTTCTCAAAGAAATAAATTCCTGTAGAGGATTCTTGTCATGTTTATTTGTAACTGCCAATTGTGTAAATATATATGGAAGACATCTGACTCTTATGAGATAATGTTTCTCAAAAAATATCAAGACATTTATATATATTTGACTCTAGTTCATGTACTTCAGATATGTCTACATTTTTATTAATCTAATTTTTTTAAAAATGTTCATATCCATTTTATGTATGAATAATTTTATGTTTGATAGTTATAATAAATCATATTAATAATTATATACACGTACGAGTAATTTGTTTTCTCGTATGTCTGATATTTCTGTATGATTTTACAAGTTTTCTTTTATGATCATCAGTTCGAACAATATCTTTCAAATTTTGTAATGAAATAATAAGAATCATTTTCAATTGATATACTGAAAAGTACAGTTAACAAACAAAAAAAGTTTATAAAATAATTTCAATTCATTTTAGTTCCATAATATGACGAATGTATTTTCTTTTTGAGTCATATTTTCAATTGATTAATCGTTTATGAAACCATATATAAGTAAAACTAGCTTGACTTTATAATTACATAGAAAATATAAATTTTCTATGTTTCTATCTAAGACAAAAATAAATAGTTGTTTTGGGAATAGATTTATCACGATCAGTATTTTCTCACGAAAAAAACAAAAGGCACGAAGACAAAGAGGTCATAACGAAGAACATTTCCAATCAAGTAATCTTTCTGTTACTGTTTTTGATCATATCTCATTAAATATATCTGGATGAAAAATGTCGATCTTGTTTTTTTTTTTTCTAAACAAAAACAGAACAAATACTCTACACTATTTATTTACAATCCATATATAGATATACTTAGTTTCTTTGATAAATACCAGACTTCATCATTTTAATTGTTATTTGTATCGAAACTGACAGATTTATCTTTTCTTCGAAACATAATCATTTGATATTACAAATCAATAATCAAAACAAGATATCACTTTTTCATTGTCAATTTATTTCACAGAGAAATAATATTACCTAGATAGACAAGTAAAAATCGATTAGAAATTTATGTATTTTTTTTCAATTAAATCAATAGTTTCCCATAATTAATACAATAGTTTTTATAAATAATTTCCCGATTTATATGACATGAATTATTCTCTATTGATCAAAAACAATTTTCATATTATAATTAAACTAGCTTTTTCTATTAGCATATAAAACAGAATTTTATTGTGTAAATATTTCTCATTCATCATAATAAAATATAATCAATATCATGAAGATTGATCATTCTTGTTAAATTGTATAAATTATTTCATAACAAGCTAAAATATTTCAAATTATTTAATACTAACTGTGCATATAATTTGTTTTATGTCGTATATTATTAGCGTTTTGCAACGCCATGACAGACAAAATCGACAGACATATAAGAGAAAAAAAAAAGAAGAAGAAGACTCACCACGCACACACACACACAAGCATACATACAAAGAAGAAGAAAAATAATGTGAACAAAAGAAAGTGATGCAAATCAGCCACATGTTCATCCATCCGATTTATCGATGTGACAAGAAGAGTGAGTGCTCATTCAAACAAAATACATCAGCAAAAAAAAAGAGAGAGAAAAAAAAAAGTAATAAAAGAAATAAGACCCAAAAAATTTAACGACGCATCATCATTATTTCGAGGTCATCATTGTTACGAATTCTAAAATATCATATGAATACTATTAATAAACATTATTAAAAATATTTATTATCATACCTTCATAATTGACTTGTCCGTCTAAATTTTACAAAAAAAAGAAAAACAGAAAATTCGAGAATATTCAAAATATAACAAAGAAAGAAATTTTAAATCATACCTCCATCAATATCTGCTTCTCGAATCATTTCATCAACTTCTTCATCCGTGAGTTTCTCACCCAAATTTGTCATAACATGACTAATTATTATTAAAAAAAAATCAATAATCTTAAAATTTTATATTATTTTTTTTGTCTTACCGAAGTTCAGCAGCTGATATAAATCCATTTCCATCTTTATCAAATACACGGAATGCTTCACGAATTTCTTCTTCTGAATCCGTATCCTTCATTTTACGTGCCATCATTGTTAAAAATTCAGGAAAATCAATGGTACCATTACCTCAAAAAACAAATAAAATAATAATTGATTAAACCTACATTTCGAATGTTTACCATCGGCATCAACTTCATTGATCATATCTTGTAATTCAGCTTCAGTTGGATTTTGACCGAGACTACGCATAACTGTACCTAATTCTTTTGTCGTAATTGTTCCATCACCATCTTTGTCAAACAGAGAAAAAGCTTCTTTAAATTCGGCTATCTGCTCTTCTGTTAATTGGTCAGCCTAACAAGCAAAAAGAAAAAACAAAATACGTAAATAATACTTCGACTATTTTTACATAGATTTGTTTTTATTCTAGTATTCAAATAAATACAATTCATAATTTTCATTCAAGCAGAATAATTATAAAAAAATGTCTCAAGTGACCACTTTTTTTGACTACGCCATAGATTTTTCTAGATTTTTATGTCACAAATTAGACATATAATGTTTATTGTTTTATAAATTGTCATTCGGAAAATCATTAAATTCGATAATATTCCCTAAAGATTACCATATTAATGTCAACATTATTGAAAAAATATCTCAATCAATTACTTTATTGGCTTTTCTTTTTTTTAATTCGGCTAATTTCAATTGTAAAAAAGGACAATAATCTTTAACATCATGTTGTCAACATCGTATTACTTGCTGACAATATGATGAGTGCTCTTGTCATAAATAAGAAAAGAAAAGAAAGAATAGATTGCCTGCTTAAAAATAGTATTGATGATAACATCTATCTTGAAGTAGTAGATGATGATGACAGTAAAAGAACTTCTAAGTATCAATATATATTTCTCATGTTTCATCTTTATGATAGATTATTTAATACAACCTCAAAAAAAACTTTCATCAAAAGATCAAAAAATATTTAAAATAAATGCAAACATTTTGTGATTATTAAGCTTATGTGAACAAGACATATCGTTATGTTCTCTATATTATTTTCGTTCGTTCGATGTTATTGATAATGCTAAACTCGTAATGGCGACAACAAGAGTCGGATGTACTATGTCGTGTGTTGTTTTTAGGCTTCTCTCTCTTTCTTTATACACATCCCCGTATAATCAATTAAGATGCGCGAACGCAAACGGCGCCTCATCTTCTCCATAAAAAAAAAGAATAAGAAGAAAAAAGGAGAGTAGGTTCGACCTCTTCTCTCTGTATGTCACAATCAGTTGGCGCCCAAGAAATCGCCTTGACACATGCGAACACGCGATAATTTGCTCATAATACCAAAAAAAGAAAAAAGAGAGAGAGAAAAAAAATAACGAGCGGTTTTCATGTATTAGTTTCATGACTAAAATAACGATTAATATCATTCAATTTAGCTATAGCACAAAATTGATTGGTTCTTTTCTCTTTCTAAAAACAAAATAATCGTCAATTTCAAAGCTACAATATTGTTTTAAAAAATCAATACTTCGAGTTCTTAAATTATTATACACATATACATAAGCACACAGAAATGGTTTATTATTTGGACAGATTTTGTCATCATGCATTCATAGTATTAGTATTTATTTATCTAAAGAAAGTATCAAATGTCTTTTGATGACATAATGATATTTTCTTTTTTTGACAGGTAGATAAATAAAGAAGTATTTTATGCAAAACTCAACTTGATGTATGTGCTGATAAGCTTTAAATATATATATATATATTTCTTATTCTGAAACTAACTAAATAAGATATTTTTTTATGAATATATTCTTAAAAAGATTTCTTTTATCTGAGAATAATTGAACTTAAACTCAATAGTATATTAACATTAAACTATTATCAACTTGAAGTATAAAACAAAAACACTAGTTGCTTATTATTTACTTTTTTTTATAGAAAAAAAAAAGCACTTCCGGTTT